TCCTTGTTCATCCAAATGCTGATTTCTCTACCCAACTATCTGGTTTCAATCCAGACACTGCATTGTGATGCTTATTCTAAGCATCACTTGTCTCAAGTTTGTGTAAACATGCCACCATTTGTTCTCTATATTGTCAATTAAACAACCAACCCCAATGTTGTGCAATGCAGAGAATAGGGTAGGGTATCCTAGCCAGAAGGGAAGAGAAGGAAGCAAGTGGGAGGAAGTAGGTGCAGAGAATCCGAAGGAGAGATCTTGGAAACACGTGGAGAGATGGACCGGACCTAAGATATGACAAAAAGCAAGTATAATTGGTGAAATCTGAATGGCAGGAAACTATGTGGGCTTGGATGTTTAGGATGGAGTAACTATTGCCCAGCATTGTGCTCTAGGTTAATTAAACAAATCCTAGTCTCTGTGTGGTGTTTTGGGTATACAGCTGGTTTAGGACCAAATGCTGCTTGACTAAAAGATAAATCAATAATAAATATCATTTCGCCACAACAAATGGCGCCCAACTAATCTAAGTAGCCACACCCTTTAAATCATACTTTAACATAATTTGGTGGGGGGGAATAAGCTCCCAGTGATACAACCCAAACTTAAAACCTAAAACTCCCAGGTCACTTACTGTCTCTTTAAGAGACACTCTTAAACAGGCCCAGGAGCAAAAGACAGCCTCCTGTGGGCAGACCTAAGACTAACATAACAAAGCTGGCTGCCATTGCAGTCTAACTGAGGGGTTCACTAGCATGGCTCCCTTATACTGTGGCTGGCTCAGCTGGCTTAGCTCAGCAGCCATGGTGGGTAAGAAAGAAAATGGAGGCAAGCAAACCTCTAGACAGAGCTTGGCCTAAAACTGAATCTAAAATTTAAAAAAAAAAAAAAAATGCCATGGCAGAGGGTGTTTTAATCCTTTTTGGCTTTGTTTTGGTTGTCATAGTCATGGATCTGGTTACAATATGTTTAATGGTGATGGCTCTTCTCCATACCTTCTCCAAGAAAGTTCAAGGAGAAAATGTGGGTATTGGAATACTAGTTACAAACAATAGAAAGTGCACCCTTCCTAATAATTAGATTAATAACAGCTAACATTCAAAGCTCTCTGGCTGCAAGATGCTAGCCAGCTCTTTCTGGTAAGGGTCCTCCAATTTCACTGTAACAACAACTAAATTCCAAAAACTAACCAATTGGGCTTTGCTTTTACACCATAAATTGGCACAACTGACCCAAAATTTAACATTTTCTCTCCTCTTTGCTTGATTTTCATTTAAAAGCTTTGAGTTACAATGGTATTGATTTGAGAAAAAAAAATATTTGAACAGGTTTGTGAAGGCACAAGCCTATAATCCCAACACAAAGTAAAACGAAAGAGGCAGATCTCTGAGTTCCAGACCAGCCTAATTCACATAATAAAAGCCAGAATGATAACTCCTTCTGTTTAGCCACTTGCAGAGATAGTCTAAGATTCAAAATGACAAAATTTTCCTTAAGGTTACCATGTAAGTTCTTTTTTCTTAATAATAGATGTTATGTCCTTACTGTTCTAAAGATTGGATTCACATCAATTTTAGGTTTATGTAAGGAAAGATAATGTCACACTGCTCTGGAAGCTGGCTTATCCTTTCGACCATGAGACATTTTCATGGGGGACAAATGTTGGTCATGCCTGATGCAAAAAAGTCACAGGAGGCTTACAGGTAGCAAAGTACACGGCAGCCTAGTTAAGTCCTAAAAACTCGAAAATTATAATTCATCTATTAAAAAGACGAAACTGTCCATCCCATATCAAAAAGGGGGCAAGGCAAAGATAGCCAAAACAAATGTAAAAGCCCAGGTACAAGATGCCTAGGGTATGCTTAAATGCTAAAAGTAAAAGGGAGTTTATATAAAGTTTGGCTATAAAGGCATAACTGCCCATTCTGCGTTAAAAAAAGAAAAATGGCAAGCCAAAAATAGCCACAACCAATGTGAAAGCCCAGGTACAAAATGCCTAGGATATGCTTAAATGCTAAAGGTAAGAGGGAGTTTATATTAAGTTTGGCTATAAAGCATAACTGCCCATTCTGCACAAAAAAAGGGGGGGGGGCAAGCCATATAATAGCCACAACCAATGTAAATATCCAGGTACAAGATCCAGAGCAGGTTGATACAAAAGGTAAAGGAATATTTAAGTACCTTTCCACTTAGCAATTTCACATTACCTGAGCTGGATCAATCACAAAATCATTTACATACCCATGAATTGAAACTTGAGGTAATAAAAGGAGATTGCTTTATAATGTGATACACCTCATTTAATAATTTCTTCATTAAATAATTCTAATGTGTTTTTATTGGTTACACAACATTTAATGGAATACAGCATACTGATTGCAAATATACTCTCTTCCTGTTTAATTTAGACTAATGAAAATGAGTTTTATCTTACTTAAATATATGCAGTCAGAGAAAAGACTTCCTTTGTAATTAAGACAAAATCCTTCCAGATCTGTTAAAGTTCTAAAGCCATTTAAAATAAATAGATGGCAATAAAATGCTGAGTAAATACATAAATATTTTATAAATCTGTGAATCTTATAAGATTATTCATATATTTATCAACTTCTTAAAATTTTATCTATACATGAAAAACAATAAATTGATTTTAATTTGCAATTTTATTTGAAAGGATAATATATTTCTCTTTAATTCTATAAAGCAAAGTCACCAAAATAATATCACAAAAACAAATATGCAACCGCACTCTCAATCTCAAATGGTCTGAAAACTTTATTTTCAGATATAGCATAGTACTATAAAATAATTTGATATGTAATGAGTGTTACATTTAACATGAAAAAGTCCTTTCCCGAAGCACTAAAGTAACAAGAGACTGAAGAGGTGGCTCTATGATAAAGAGAATTTACTGCTCTTGCAGAGGACCTGGGCTCAAGTTCCAGCCCTCACATCCAGTGGCTCACAACAGCCTATCTCTCTAGCTCCAGGGAATCCAACGCCCTTCTCTGGCCTCTACAGGTACAAGCTATATACCAGGTGCACATACATATATGAGGCACTTATGAACATACAAAAATAAGAATAAATCATTTTAAAATTGATAAGGTAAAACAAAAATACCAATAGCTAAACAGCAAGCAGAGTAAACAATTTTTCACTACTTTATTTCTAACAAGTGCACAGTAAGAAAGGAGACCATTTATAAGACAAGCACCGACATGGGACACAGAATGAACTGCAAAATAATTATTCTTGGAACATATCAAATATATTCATCCCTTAAAAAAGCCAGAAATATTAAGAACTACAAGTAGAAATGAAGTGTTTACATCAGAAAACTCATGGTATATGATATATACTCATTATTATAATAAATGATATATATGTATGTGTACACATATATGTTAGAAGAAATAAAGAACCTTTTGTCATACTAATCAATTTTGAAGCACCACCGCTCCCAGCTAAGATTTTAAGTTTGATTTATACCTGAAACTTGACAATGTAACAGCAGTACAATAGCTCTTAGGAAAAAAAAGGGGGGGAGAAGAAAGCAAGAAAGAAGGAAGGAAGGAAGGAAGGAAGGAAGGAAGGAAGGAAGGAAGGAAGGAAGGAAGGGAGGGAGGGAGGGAGGGAGGGAGGGAGGGAGGGAGGGAAAGG